TTTTTTATTTTTAATAGTTAAAATTTATTTATATTTATTAAATATAATTATTTTTTATTTAAAAAGTCATAATAAATTTTAACTATTAAAAATAAAAAATAAAAATTTTATATAAATGTAATATGTAAAATTTATATGTAAGTAGATCTCCTACCAAATTAAATATATTAGAGACTCAATTAGAAATTTTTTTTAATAGAATAAACTAATTAGTTGAAACTTTTACGAAAGGAGAAAAATTCAAATAGTAACTATACAAATGAAAAGATGCATTTACATTAATAGTTTATTTAATTGCCCTAGAAACCCTACGCACTGAACTATAATGCAATTAAAATAATGTAAAGGGCATAATGATACAATTTTAACATCTAAGAAATAGAGGATCTACTTGAACCACTCTCAAAACGTTAATGACTATTAATTAAATTTGCTCAGAGCAATTGTACAGTAACACTACCAAGAAACGTTGCCGTTTTATCTGTCTGAAACGACAGCGTATGAGAAGCGCAGCCGCATAAGCCTTGGATTGATTTCTTGTCTACAAAGACACTGTAAACTTTAAGGACTCCGGAACCTCATCGAAGAAGAAGAAGAAGAAAGTAGAAAAAAGGGAGAAACAATGGAAGCTCCGAAGCCGATCCAACATGAAATCGGAGGGATTCAGAAGGACGCGCTCCGATTCGGTCTCAACGGTGTCAAGAGTGACCTCGTTGGATCTCATCCTCTCGAAATCGCCTATGAATCGGTAACCCTTTGTTTTCCCTCTCTCGTACACCTCTTTCATTGTGATTTCCTGTTTGGATAATTGAATATGGTAGGAAAGAAGTGAAAATAGATTCGGTTTTCTACAGTAGCAGAGGCTTTGTTTGAGTATGTATTTTGATTCCTTATTGCTAAGAGATCAAACTAATAAATTGTAGCCTTAAAATTTCGTTCAACAGCTGTGATTTTTGAAGAATTTTCCTTAGAAATTTTGTGGCTTTCCTTTCTTCTGAAAGGTTATTAGTTTTTTTTTTTTTTTTTTTAAATTTAACTTTTTATTGATTTTTTTGGGGGTTTTTAGGCGAGGAAGAATCACGAGGAGATGAAGAAGAGAATCCTAGCTAACACCTATGGGAGTGCATTTCCATTGAAAATGGATATGGATAGGCAAATTCTTTCACGGTACAAGCTTTCATCTATTGGGTTTATGATAAATGACTTTTTCCTTTATGTGGATGTCTACTAAATTAAAATTGTTGTGCTTATTGCTGATTATTAGACTTGTTTCTTTTTGGGATTAAATTGTTGTCAGTAGCTTGTTTCTTAGTCCAGTTAATCGTGAGTTTGTTCCTTTAATTAATAAGCAAGTAGATGGAGCCTGAATCTGTAAGGTGAATAAGGATTAAGAATGAGAAGGTAGATGCGGCTAATAAAGAATTAGTTTGTCTGGAATGTGGGGAGTTCGGGAAAGCGAATTGTGTGAATCTGTGATCATGAGGAAGAGACAGTTTTGGCCTAGACGCCTAAGTTTTTCAGATGGCATAAGTTTTCCTGATTTGGCTTAATGCATTGTAGTGGGTGATTTGTAGAGTTCTAGTTAGGTGTCTTACACTATATGTCCCCTGCCAATTGCTTGGGAGAGGTCTTCACCTCTGAAGCATAAGCCGCAGATTAGATCTCATCCAGTTTCTGCATGGTAGGTGGGAAATTTTGTTAGGATTCACTTAACTGTTTGCAGGTATTGATTTAGCAATAGGCGCCTCATATGCTAGGAAGGCATGAATAAATCGAAAGTCTTCTCCTGCTCTAGTTTTCGAAATATAATTGGGTTAATCCCTTCCTGTCATGGTGAATTTGGACCTGCTAGCAGTTTTCTTTTTGCTAATTTTTTATTTAGTTGAAGTGGCAAGGATGTCAATAACTTCTCGTGTATTTTTATTCACATTTCATGGTTCTGCTTCATTGATTTTGATGACCAAATTCATTTGTCTTTCTTAGCTGGTTTTGTATCCTTACCATCCATGCTATACAGGTTTTGCTTTTGTGCTATCCATCTTATGAAAGCATTTAACTGTATCTTCTTGGAAAATGTGCAGCTTTCAAAGGCCTCCAGGGGCAATCCCTTCCTCGATGTTAGGCCTAGAAGCCATGACTGGACGCTTGGAAAATTTTGGATTCGAGGATTACTTGAATGGTATAAATACTACAAATTAAATGCAAAAAAAAAAATAATAATAATGTTTTGTTTTTGATATGCTACTTTTTTTCCTTTTTTTTTTTTTTTTCCATGGGATCATTTTCCAAGAATTTTTATTGGAAGTCTTTCATCAAAGTTCTTGCATAAAAGCCAAGTTTTCAAATCATCACTTACATTCATCTTAATGCTAACTTTGCAAAATATATGTGGAAGCTAATCGAATGTCATATGTTTTAGAGATTTGTTAGCTGTAATTAATTTCTTTTATGCTCCTTTTTTTGCAGATCCACAACAATCTGAGACTTTCAAGCCTCCGAACGTGCACCATGGCATGGAAGTACGGCTAGGCCTCTCCAAGGGACCAGTGTGCCCAAGCTTTATCTGATTTGAACCCCTACTTCAACTCCTTGAATGTATTGGATGAAAATGTTAAATGGCGATGGATATTTATTCTTGTCTGACTCAAGAATTTGATTGCATGGCATGATGTCGCCTCCGTTCTCGCTTGTTCTTTCATGAAATTTCATGTTACTCTGCTTTTGAGATTTGATGGAGCCCTTTTCTTTCCTATTTTACAATATGAATCTTGTGGCTCAACTTCATCAATTAAGCTCCTTGTGTGAGTTTCATGATCATGGTTCTAACTAGTCATGAAGCAGAAAAGCTTTGTTCATGATGGGAAGGAGATACGAGGTATGTAAAAGCTGAATGATAGAGAGGAGAAAAGATAAATCAATGGTTACCGTAATTTCTTCCATAAGTTAAAATGTGAAGTTTCAATACTGTTACATAATCTTCCCCCAAATCTGAAACAAGAATACATACCTTACCTCTTCAAAGATCAAAATTACAGTTAATGGCGCCTAGGCGTTACAAGGGAAATAAATCGAACCTACTCTACCAATCCTCTATGAATATCAGCTTTGCCATTAAGAGGAGTAATGATGGCAAGGACAACCAAACCACCCAAGACAACAATCAAAATACCCAAGGAGTTTACAAGCAAAGCCTCCATGGAATAGCGTGATATTACTTTGTTTGTTTGAAGGAACGTAACCTTTTCTAGGATGCCTGTTATAGCAGTAGCGACTGCAAGGGCATAAATATAAACCCCAAAGAATACATGCCATGGCAACAATGAAGCTCTGCTACTTCTGGAACCACCTGGGTACCAAAAGGTGGCAAATCCAGCTGCCCACTGTACAAAAAGAGTTAACAGCAAAGCATGAATATAACTGTGGGAGCAAATCTTCAAGAGAAATGAAGAGCATGAGGCACTTCATGAACAAAATAGCAGTACAGACCTGGATGCCAAATAGAAACAGGCAAGCTAGACCCAACCACGAGTGCAGGCTGTAGAAGTTATCAATGCCCTTATCATTATGGAACTTTAGAGCAGCCCACACACCAACGATGCTCAAACAAAAAGCAAGGAATTGTACTGTAAGATGAACTAATTTCTTGAAATTTTTTGTCCCCACAACAGTCTTGTAGGCCAGCATGGCTGCTTCAAACCATTGCAACATTAAAGACAAGAATAATAAAAACCAGGATGACAAAAATGGTGAACTCCCAATTCATCAGAGCCTATATTGGCCTGACTAAGTAATATACCATAAAGGTGACTTGATAATGTTATCACTTGACGTAACAAAAAGGAAATCAAGCCAAAGACAGATATATACAACTTCAGTATTATGCTTAGCCTCCATATTCTCACTGTTATCGATTAGAAAGCTAAAATCTTAAAGCTAGAAGGACTAGCCACTCGTTCCTCATCCACTACATGAAAAATTGAAGGAGATAACTATGTTCCTGTATGATGATCTATCATGATAATAGTCTTTTTAGAACAGCTTTCTAACAATGTTTCCCTCACATTGATAGAGTTGCACAAAAACACAATGTGACCAGACTGAAGAACATGAATTCTATTATATATCCACAGAATTTTCAATCATGAATAATGAACTCCACCACATTCATTGTCCGCATGGAAAATGCATTTACCTTCACCATTTAAGAGCACTAGTCCTATAACCATCAAAACAGGATGTACCTGCAATATATGGAACAGGAACAAGTTTTCACATACATCTACACAAAAACTTTGAATAGAAAGAGGGAAAAAAGAAAGAAAGAAAAAAAAAAATCACCCATCAACTAATGCCGAGTGCAGGGTAACAGGGATACAAATAATCATGATATAATCAACTGCTTCATTGCTGCATCAAACATACAATTAAACAATCTAAAGATTCTGAACCCCATCATATTCTATTAAAACCAAAAGAAAGGCCAACCTTAAATTCAAATATACCCTTCCCTTCTCATCCAAATCAATTTTCAGTACGCTTACTTCTCATAAAGGAAACAGCTTGCAACAAAATCATGGCACCCACAATCAAAAAAAAGGTGTAAAAAAATAGAACCCAAAATCTAGCAACTGGGAAATGCAACTGACAGAAAAGTTCTATCTTGAACATGGGATATGAACATCAGAGAAACTCACCGTGAAAAAAAATTAGAGATGCTATTATGTAAAGAAAGAGGCACAGATATAAAGTAGGAGTCAACAAGTTAAGAATGATTACATTGAAGATGAGATCTTTGTTCTCAGAGACGAGAGCCAAACCTCCCCTGTAATGAAGCGTCCATGTCAGAAGCAGCGCCGCGATTATCATGCCTATCACTCTTACAATCAGGAAGATCGGGAACTTAATCACTGGAACCCCCATTTTTTTTCCGCCGAGAGAAGGAGATAGACGGAGACCCAGACTAGGATTTGGGTCTATTGAGATGGAATTTCTGAATTAAAAGCAAGAAGAGGGCTTTTCTGGATTCTGGGATTCCTTGGGAACAGCTATCGAGTTTCTGTCGATGGAGGATTGAAGGGTTTTACGGTCTTCGGATCGAGCTTCCGAATCCAATAAATTGCGGTGGTATATGTTTAAATAAGGTGGTGTTTTATAGATAATTTTTTTTTTATATATAATTTTTATATATTATTAAATAAATAGATATATTTAATATTATCAGTCTCACATAAATTAAAAAATTAATTATTTTAATGATATGTTAAATTATATAAAAAAATTGTATAAAAATTATTTTTCATTTAAATATTCTTAGTGAATCTAAATAGGATCATTAAGCTTATTTAAATAATCTCATGAATAAGTTAATATTTTAAAAATGAGATGTTAAATATAAATAAAGTTTTATTAATATATATTATTTTTTAACAAGTTTATATAAAAAATATAAATATAAATATAAAATTTAATATTATTGTCATGTATGTAATTTAATTTAATTATTAATAAATTAAATGTTATTTTTTATTTTTTTTTAATTCTTAGTTTTAAATTATAACATGTAAATTAAAAAATTTATAAAAATATATATATTTTTATACTAACTTCCTAATATTCTATAATTATATTGAATCTTGATTAGAGTCGGTTTGATAGAACTTCTTAGAATTTTTATTTTTATTTTATGATATATGAGTTATAAGTTTAAATTTAAGGAAAAATTTAAAAAGTAATAGAAATAATAAAAAATGAGTAAAAAATAAGTTTATAAAAAGTAAAATTTAAAGTTTTTCAAAATTTATTGTTTAAAATCTTTTTAAAGTTAAAAAAAAGTTAAAAAAAAGTTAAAATTGTAAGTTTTTAAATGGAAGGCCAAAGCCCTATTTACACCCTCCATTTAATTCTTTTATGTGGTCAACACCTTTCAAAATTTTTCCTCTCTATTCACACCCTCAACTTTTTTAAAACCCGTGAAAAACCCAATATTTTAACCCACCATCATGGCATCGTTAAAAAATATATTACGTGGCACCAAAAATTGACATGGCACTATATAACGTTAGTAATTCAATGTGGATCTTTTTTTTTGATGATGTGGTTTATTTTTTACACACGTGAATGACACGTGTACAGTGAGAGCAACAAAAAATTATAATATTATCAAACAGTAACATAAATGGTATTTCTTCATTTTTTTTCTTTCCCCCCTCAACCTCGACATCATCTTCACCATCCTCCATCTCAATGTGTTCCTCATGGGGAACCCAGATTCTGGGTTCTCATCATTTTTTTTTTTATTTTTTTTATTTTGAATGTATTTATCTTAGTTTCCTATTTTATGCAAAGCAATTTGGAATAAGTTTTTTGTTGGAAAGGTGAGTTTTTTTGCTTGGAGATTGTTTGTGAACAGGTTGCCAATTTGAGTTTTTTTCGTTTTTTGTGAGAAAGGAGTAAAAAATGCTTATCATGTTTTTGTGCAGTATTCATTTACTTATAATTGTGTGGATGAAAATCTTAGCTTGATAGGCATTCATGTGAAATTAGGTTCCACGAAGAACTCATAACTTGGGTTTCGCGAGGAACCTAGGAGGATGAGGATGAGGATGGTGAAGATGATGTCGGGAAAGAAAAAAATGAAGAAATTAAAATTAATTATAATTTAATTATAACACATTATAAAAGAAAAAAAGTCCAACATTGGATTAATAAATGTGACATAAAGTCCTAGGTTCCTAGTTCCATGGGGAACCTAGGAGGATGAAGAGGAAGATGGTAAAGATGATGCGGGAAAGAAGAAAATAAAGAAATTAAAATTAATTATGGTTTAATTATGCCATATTATCAAAAAAAAAAAAGTCCACATTGGATTAATAAAATGACATAACGTTCATGTTACTGTTTGATGCCACGTATTGCAATTTTTAACGGTTATTAACGGTGCCATGATGATGGGTTAAAATATTGGGTTTTTTACGGGTTTTGAAAAGTTGAGGGTGTGAATAGGGAGGAAAAATTTTGGAAGGTGTTGACCACAGAAAAGAATTAAATGGAGGGTGCAAAAAGGGGTTTTGGCCTAAAAGGAAAATTTAAACTTATGAAACATAAATAGTGTCAAAAAACTGAAATACTTACAAGTTTCACCAAACATGCTCTTAATCCGAAATCGAACTCCTTCATACCTCTCGTAAAGGGAAAAATTTTCTCAGCACCTATTTCTTCATTCATAAGATTCAAACTCGAGATTTTATTTAAAATAAACTGAATTTTTTTATTCAAATCAATAAATCATTAATATAAAAATATATTTATAATTAAATGGTATGAAATTACGAAATATTAACCATAATCTTCTGAGGTTTAAGGGTTTCATACTCTTGATTACTACAACATAATATGGATTAGTGGTCGTCATTTCCTATATTTTAAAAAATTAGACTTAATTTAAAATTTTAACTCAACTTGTTTGCTATGGAAAGGACCATATGCCTAAAATATTAATTCAAAATTTGAGATGACCAAATCAAAATTATTTAAATCTAACTATATTGAATTAAGTCAAATCTAGTTAGCCTATAGTGACTCAATTAAAATTAATTAATTTTTTAAATTAAAATATTAATTAATTATACTTGTAATTTTAAGTTTTAAATATAAGATAAAACTAAATATTATAAAATTATTATTATTTATTATAAGATTTTTCTGTCATGAGCTCTTATGGCATATGTTAAGGACATTTTTTTTATAATAAATTTGTATAAAAAAATATAAAAATAAATATTAATTTTAATATTAATGTATGTGAATAAATTTAATTAGATGGTTGATAAATTAAATATTACTTTTTATTT